AAGTTTTCATTCAATACACGCCAGCTGATTAAACACATGTAGCCCCTCTGGGCCTCAGTTTCTTCATTTAGAAAATGATGATGATGATAACATCTTTTCAGCCTTTTTCACAGAGGTGTCAAAAAGGCTCCAACAAACTAATGCAGATAAAAAAAACTGTATAAAATGAAAAAGGCCACACAAGAGCAGGACTGCCATCTGCTCACGTTGCCACCTGCAATGAGTGAAGTTACACACACAGTGGAGAGACCCAGATGGGCTTAAAAGGCTCTGGTCAAACTTTAGAGGAATTAAGCAAAGCAGGAAGAGTTGTGTTATGAATACTTTGAGGATTTGGGTTCAAAAAGGCAAAGATGGTCACTGGTGCTCCTGGAACGAAAGCATCTCAGGAGGAGAAGCCCCACCTCTCTGGTCATCAAACATCCCCTAGGCTGGAAACATTCACGTTGGATGAATGGATGAATCACAGACAGAGATGACAAGTAAGACCCTCAGAGCACCAGACTTGAACCAGGATGGGACGTGGCCAGCCTAGGAGATTCAGGCTCACCAGCCTCCAGGTCTGCAGTCCTTCAGAAGTTTACTTAAACCTTTCCCTCCAAACTCTTGGAAAGCTCTCAAATGACAGGCACTGTGGTGCAGGGGAATCAGCACAGGCCTAGGAACTCACAGGCAAACAAATCCAAATTCTACTTTGGGCTCTACAACTCACTGACAGGATGGCCTCTCCTTAAAATGTGGTTAGCAGAACCTGCTTTGCAAGGCTGATAAGAAGATTAAAGTTGATAATGCAGGTAATACACTAAGCCCAATGCTGGGACACGGCAGACACTAAGCAAATAAATCCTAAGTTTTATTTTTCTTCTGGGTGAAGGATGAACCCAAATTAGGCTAGATGATACAAAATTCCCCCTAATTCAGACCTTTAGTCTTGGAGCAAAGAAGGAGCCAAACTTCCCCAGAGGCCCCAGTCTGGGCAGAAGTGGGACAACCCAGACAGACAACATAAGGAGAAGGAGCAGTCTGGTGATAAAGAGCTGCTACATGCCATCCCTGTCCCTAAAACTGTAATCAAAGCATCTGAGCGCTGGCGGACTCCACTGTGCAAGGCAATAATGAACAAATATACGCAAAACCCAGCTGGAATCAAGATTTGGCTACAGAATAAAGAAGGTTCCAGCAAATCTAGAATAAGACTTTGGTGTTGTATCAGAGAGCTGTTGTAGGAGGAAAAAAATCCCTGAAGTAATCGCCTTCAGGTTTAGGCCTTTTGTTGACACAGAAAAGAAACTGGGAGAGACAGAGGTTTTGAGTTGACGCTCAAAGAATGAACTCCTTCATATCCTCTAGAGTTTGCTCAGAAAACAGTGTGCCATCAGCGTCTGCAGGGGCAGAGCCCCACGGGGCTTCCCATGTACCGGCGGCCTCCAGGGCACACTCTGTATCTGCTCCGGGTGCAATCTGATCCTGACTTCAGTGAGGTATTTCACAAGCCTTTTAAGGGTTACTACATTTTGTTCCTATAAGGGCCAATACAAATTAGCAACAAAAGAATAAACACAAGAAAAACCACCTCTTTTGTGCTTAAGAAAGGCATTTCTTGGTCATTACAAAGGTGAAGTATTTTATTCTCCATAAACTTTCTTCTGTGAAAACCCATCCAGTAATTTTCCCAGCGGAGTCCGCAGTCTTCTGTTGGCTCCTGCTGAAGGCTGACAAGTGCTGACACGGCATGCACACACGAGACTGCACCTGAGCTGGCATCTGGCTCTGTGCCCCCTTAGGAATTATTCCAGTTATTAATTGCTACATAACAAATTACCCCAAAATTTAGAATCATAAAATGTCCATCTTATTTCTAATCTGTTTCCCCATTTTTCAGACAAGATGATTTGTACCGATGTAGCCTCGAACACAAGAGCTCTTTCCTCTGTCATCTTTCTCGATTTGTTAAGCACATTTGGTAATTTTTTTAAACTTTATATACTGTATTTTTCAATTCTAGTTTGCTTTTTTGTTTTGTTTTGAGACAGAGTCTCACTGTGTCACCCTTGGTAGAGTGCCATGGCATCACAGCTCACAGCAACCTCCAACTCTTGAGCTTCAGCAATTCTCTTGCTTCAGTTTCCCAAGTAGCTGGGACTACAGGTGCACTCCACAATACCCAGCTATTCTTTCTTTTGCAGTTTTCACTGTTGTTTAGCTGGCCTGGGCCAGTTCAAACCCGCTGGCCTCGGTATATGTGGCTGGCGCCATAACCAGGGTGTTACGGGTGCTGAGCCCATTTGGTTCTTTTTTATAATTGCTATTTATCTGCTGAGATATCCTACTTTTCTTTCATATGAAGAATATTTTCCGGCTTGGCGCCTATAGCCCAACCGGCTAAGGCGCCAGCCACGTACACCTAAGGTGGCAGGTTCGAATCCCCAGCCCGGACTCGCCAAACAACAATGACGGCTGCAACCAAAAAATAGCCGGGCGTTGTGGCGGGCGCCTGTGGTCCCAGCTACTTGGGAGGCGGAGGCAGGAGACTCGCTTGAGCCCAGGAGTTGGAGGTTGCTGTGAGCTGTAATGCCATGGCACTCTGCCCAGGGGGAGAGCTTGAGGCTCTGTCTCAAAAAATAAATAAATAAATAAATAAAATAAAATAAAATAAAAAAAAGAATATTTTCCTATACATCCTTGAATATAGTTACATTTGTTATTTTAAAATCTTTGCCTGAGATGGGTATGGTGGCTCATGCTTGTAACCCTAACATTCTGGGAGGCTGAGGCAGGAGGACTGTTCAAGCATAGGAGTTCAAGACCAGCCTGTGCAAAGGCCAGACCCCATCTCTATCAAAAACAGAAAAAATCAGCCAGGTGTGGCAGCGTGCACCTGTAGTCCCAGCTACATGGAAGGCTGAAGCAGGAGGATCACTTAAACCCAAGAGTTTTAAGGCTGCAGTGAGCCGTGATGATACCACTGCACTGTAGCTGGGAAGACAGAGGAAGACTCTGTCTCAAATAAATAAATAATAAAATAAAATAAAACCCTTGCCTGCTAAACCCAACATTTGTGTCATCTCAAAGTCAGTGTCCATCAAGTACTGTTTCTCTTAAGATCAGTTCGCATTTTCCTGTATGTCAAGTAATTTTGGATTTGATCCTGGACATTGTGAATGGTGTGGCTGCAGAAACTCTGGATTCTATTATATTTTCTCTAAAGATTACTGATATTTTGGCATATGCAATTATTTTAGTTGGACTTAATCTATAAACTCTAGGGTGGCAGCTCACATCTCAGTACTACTGTTTTATCCTTAGCGCAATGACTTGGGCCTGCTGCGTACATGTGTGATTTGGGCATCAGCAGGATCCAGGTAGTTGACACACAGATTTGGGGGCTTGTTTCTCTCCTTCCTTGGACCACCCCCATCACTTTCCAATGGCTATGGTTGCCCCAAAGTGCTCTTCAATTCATCAAGCCAGAAAGATGGCAGATTTCCTACTAGAGCATTCACAGCCTCCAGGGGCGCGAGCTGTGTGCCTCTTCTGTCTCCCAAGTGTCCATCTGCTGCAGAGCTGCCTGTTCTGTCAAGTTTGTGTCTTCACATAACTACCCTTTGTCCAGAGTTCACAACTGTTATGTGCAGGAAGACCAGCCCAATAATAGCTCACTGGGCTATTAACAGAGGCAGGACCTATACAATTTATTTTTCCTCCAGTTTTTCACTTTTTCTCACAATCCTGTGGGTCATGAATTCAGAAAAGGTGTTGTGCGGCAGGATGTCCCTGATCCTGTGGCATCAGCGGGGCAAGTAAGAAGCTGACAGTTTCTCAGACATGCTTGGTCCCTGACGTGCCCTGCCTAGTCCCTGCCTCGTCCCCTTCCCTCTCCTCACTGCAGCTCACCATCCAGGGCTTCTCCAGGTGACTCAGCAACTCCCAGCAAGGTGACCTCAGGGAATCTGTACTTCGTACATGGTCAATGACTTCAAAAAAGCTGGAAACAGAATCTGCCAGTCTGTTAGATTAGTTAACAGACCAGTTAAAGGCTATACCAGAAATGGTACAGGATCACTGCTGCCAAATTCTATTGTTCAAAACAGCCACAGGGCCTGCCTAGCACAAAGGATGGAGAAATAGATACCAGCACTCAGTGGGTCAATGCCAGTCACACTACAGAAACACAAGTAAAATGACAGGTACTTTTGTTGCCATCTTAGGAAAATATAACCTGACACAGATACATTTAATTTAGAAGCAAAACAAATGCCACCTGCAGTAAAACTCCAGGAAGACACAGGAATGCTAGTTTCATATGAGGCACATGGTCCAAATGTCCTGCCACCCCTTTTTATCTCTCCCTCACATTCTCAATATAATCACCTCTAAGCTGTTCAGCACAAAAGAAGTTTCTAAGAGGCCTGCCAACTTTCCACAGACGTAATACTTAAACATTATATCCATTTCAAAAATAAGAAAAAATTTATGATGCTATCACTCATAAATGTAGGCTACAGATATAACTTAAGGCTTTTTGTTTGTTTTTTAAGATAATGGTCAATATAACTAGTGTTTATTATGTGCTAGAGAATTTTCTAGGCTCCCTAAATACATGTTTTTATTGACTGCCCTCTACACAAAATAAGAGTGTGCTTAAATGCAGAGGTTTACTCAAACATTGACAATTTATAAGAAAGGGGACTGACTCAAATGCAACTAAGGACAAACACAATACAGAATTATAAAAATACAAACTCTCAAATATAACACATTATGTTTAACAGTGGGGGAATATGTAATTTACATAAATATATAACATATTTCATATACACATATAGATGTATGTACTTATATACATATAGATTACATATGTATGTAATATGTCTCTCTCTCAAGCTACTTTCTAAGCACCTCAAACTTTCATTCCAAAAAACCTAACATGCACTGCACTCTAAATACTATATTCTAAATGCAGCCATATATGTCTGACACAGACCGAGAAATAATCTTACCTTGTCTTGGTTCTCTTTATTCTTGTAACACAGATTTCCAATCAGACGGATGAGATGAGACTTGAACCCCTCTGCCATATTCGAGATGTCACCTTCCGCCTTCATGCAGCCAGTGGTACTGAAGAGGTTTGTAGTGTCTTTTCCAGCTACATGAATCAATCGCAAAAGATCTACAATGGAAAGAATAAATTTTATCTTCCATAGAAAAATACTTTTTAGTATTTTGTACTAGTTTTCTATAAACAAATCTGATTTATTTTAACAGATTTAAATAGAAAAAGGTAGAGTACCAAAAGCTTCTTTTAAATAATGATCAGAAGGCTCTTTTTCCTTTGTTTTAAATGTTTTTGTCTCTAGTTTGGGGGAGATAAGTCATAATTATTACCCCAACTGGGACTTTCAGAGAAATTAGTTAAAAATATTCTGGTATCTTTCTTACAAAAGGTTTCCAATCTCCACTTCTTATGAAAGAATTAATCTGATAATTATAGTCAGCCAAGTCTAATGTACAACCCCTATCTACAATGACTCAGTGACAGAACCCAAGAAGAGAGTTTGTTGTCTTCCGCAGTGGTCAGATAATCAGAAGGCAGTGTGTGTTCTCCATAGATCTATTTTAGCTATATTCAGAAGAAATAACTTACCACTGCTATATTCTATGAATACCTCCTATCAGTCTATGAAAACAGAAGATCTTCTAGGAACTATAATTTAATGTCCTCACATCATTTCATTTAACTCTCTCAACAAACCTGGGCAGGTATCACTCTCCCAATTTTATAATGAAGAAATTAGGTTCAGAGAAGCTGGCAACTTGCAGAGGCAGGTGGCATCTCACATCTGCCCTGGCTCCAAACTCATGCTTTCTCCGTAAAGCGTTTTATGTCAATTATCACTAAAAGCACTATATTCAAAATAAAACACTGATAAGGAATTCTAAAATATCTTCTTCTATACCTCACTACTAGCTCGTAAGTCTAGATACAAAGTTATCTTCCTCAATATATTGGCCTTCAAAGTATAATCTCTTAAAAGAAAAAAAAGCAGTAATAGTGAATAGCAATACAAAGCACGGCCATTCACAAGGAACAGGCTCTACCTGAATTCTTTTGCTAACAGCTTTTTGCAAGGTTGGTAATACTTCACAGCTTCTTGGTTAAAACAGTTTTCTTACACAAACTGAATAAAAAATATGTGCGAGGCACTATTTTCTTCTTAGTAAGTCTAACCAAGAAATATTTACAGATATTATCAAGCTATAGTAATATAGAATCACCACCATTATGACCACACCCACTACTGGTGAAACCTCTACCATGTGGCCCTCAAAGGAGGCAGGTTACCCCCCCTCACTGAGAAGAAATGCTGAGTTAGCAGAGGGAAGAGCCGGAGCTACAGTGTGGACTTGGATCATCTGGCCCCGAAGCCTAAACCCCAATGCCACAATTCCTCTCTAAGAAAAAATAATCCACAAAAAAACTCAAAAATACATCACACACTGAAAATTAAGGATTTGTGTTTGGATTTATATTACAGTATAACAAGCCTTAACTAAAAATACTATTTACGATGTTTCACTCACCAATCACTCTTTCCAGCAAGCCAGGATAAATCTGCAGGTAGCCAAGCAGCTCAGTATTAGCAGTCATTTCACACAGCACATCCAGAAGCCTAATTGTAGCCAGTGCCTCCTAAAACAAAGAGAACATAACTTTTAACTACATTTGAAGTTAAATGACCTAACACTTATAATTAACTATAAGAAAATAAAATATTTCCATATTCAGTGCTTGTATTTCATCTAAAGAAAGAAACAGAACGATGCAAAACAAAGTATTAAATATGTACACAAATAGTCACTTTCACTAGCAGCAGACATCTGCCATCAAGAATGTAAGATGATGGTTACAGCTCAGTTCACATCAAGCTGTGGAAGTGACCCAAGTTGTCCATCAACCATGAATGGATTCACTAACTGTGGCATCTGTATACCATGGAGTACTATTTAGTATTTATCTAGCCATAAGAAAAGATGGAGACTTTACATCTTTTGTATTTACCTGGATGGAACTGAAACACATTCTTCTTGGCAAAGTTATCACAATAACAGAAAAACAAGCATCCAATGTACTCAATACTAATATAAAACCAATATGTAAACAAGTACATGCTCACACGAAAGGAAACCAGAAGTGCGGTCTAGCAAGGGGGAGGGGAGGGGAGAGGAGAGAAGGGGCGGGATCTCACCTATGTGCCTAAGGGGAGCACGCCCCCTGGGTGAAGGGCTCAACTACAACTTGAACTTGACTTTAGAAATGAAAACAGTGTAGCCGCAACATTTGTACCCTCATATTGATCTGAAATTTAAAATAAATACTCCCCAAAAAGAACCTAAGATGATGTGTCATTATGTGTCTTCTTGGAGCAAAGAGTCAGGAAAGTTCTTATTCAAGCAAAAATACCTTCCAAGAGTGGAATAAATATTCAAAATTACTAGCTACATATCATTTATGCAAATATTTTCCTTTTAAAGCATTCTCAGCATCCAAGTTCCATTTTAAAGATCCAAATATCCTATGAAATACATTAATTTCCTGCCCACAGAAATCCTGTAAAATGCCATGGTTCAAAGAACTCTACTGCATATAAAGGCACATGTCTTTGAATTCGCCTTTCTCCAGTTGTTAACATCTTACTGGTTCCCGCTGTAAAAAAGCTGAAACATCCAGAAATAAATCCAAATATATGTAAGAATTTAGTATATGATACAGGCAGCCTTAAAATTAGCAGAAAAAAAATGAGATTATTACTATTCACTAAATGGTATTGATACAATAAATTAACAGCCAGCATTCAAAAAATTTAGCTATGTACTAGTCATCACACTAAACACTTATATTAAAATAAAATCCATTTGGGTGGTGCCTGTGGTTCAGTGAGTAGGGCACTGGCCCCATATACCAAGGGTGGTGGGTTCGAACCCAGCCCCGGCAACAAAAAATAGCTGGGCGTTGTGCAGACGGCTGTGGTCCCAGCTGCTCAGGAGGCAGAGGCAAGAGAATCACCTAAGCCTAGGAGCTGGAGACTGCTGTGAGCTGTGATGCCATAGCACTCTACCGAGAGCAACAAAGTGAAACTCTGTCTCTTAAAAAAAAAAATCCAATTTAAAATCTATTTTACAGGTAAAAAAACAGGCACAGAGATGATAAGTAACTTCTCCAAGATCATTCACTAGTAACAGAAGAAATCAAGATTCAAACCTGGTCAGTCTCACACCAAAGCCTGTATAATCTTGGACAGTCACAAGACATAAATAATTCATGTGAACCCATAACTCACTCCTTACATGAAAAGAAATTTTAGATTAACAAAACTGTGGACTAAGTACTGAAGGAACTACACACGTGGGTGCATATTTCCACAATCTAAGTGGAAAAGTTTACTAAATATGTAAACAAAATTCAGAGGCCAGGATAAAATTGGTAAGTCTAACTAGATTAAAAACAAACAAAAGACTTTTAAAAGGCTAAGAATGTTGTAAATTCAAACAGAAAATTAACTATGTTTTTAAAAAGTTTATTATATATATGAGAGAAAGATTAATTTTCTGGAAATGTTTTTTAATAAATGTAAGGAAAAAGGTAACCTAAAGCCAGCAGCAGTGGCTCACATCTAAATCCTAGCACTTTGGGAGGCTAAGGAGGAAGGGGAGCTTGTGACCAGGAGTTTGAGACAGGCTGAGTAACATAGTAAGACCCTGGCTCTAAAAAATTAAAAAAATTGCCATACATGGTGGTGGGCGCCTGTAGTCCCAGCCCCTCAGGAGACTGAGGAAGGAGGATCACTGAGCCTAGACGTTCACGGCTACCGTGAACTGTAATGAGGCTACTGTGCCTGGGCAACAGAGCAAGGCCTCGTCTCAAAAGGGTGACCTGTAACCTGATATCTAACACGCAAAATAAAGGAATGCATTTTACCAAAAAACTAACCTGTAACCTGATATCTAACACGCAAAATAAAGGAA